TTACATCTCTAATTGGTATACCCCAAACTCACTGGGAGGCAGTAATCTAAAGACAGCATTCCATACTTTGATTATTATTATTTTTAGTTGGAATCTGCTTCTTCTTACCCTTTGGAAGCTTAAGCTTAGAGTACCTACAGAATCTGGTGACGGGAAATGCTGAAAGGTCACCATTTGTTTCTCTAGCACCCAACTGTCAACAGATCAAGAACAGAACCTGAGTATTTGGAGGAGAACCTTTCTTTCTTACCTGTTTTTGCCACGTCACCTGACATACCCAAAGGAACACTATATGGGGGGGGGCAAAGCTCAATAGTAAAGCATTTGCTGTGCATGCTAGAAGGTCCCAGGTTCAATCCCTGGCATCTCGAGATGAAAGGGTCAGGTGATAGGACGTGCAGAATACATGCAAAAGACCTTTTCTTGACACACTGGAGAACCACTGCCTGTCAGAGTAGACAAAACTGACCTTGACGGATCAGCAGTGTGCTTCAGTATGAGGCCGCCCCTGTGTTCAACCTCCTTGACGTTGCTCAATTACTTGCTCCGATTCCATGGTTACCTTCCCAGACTGTGTTCTGGAACTGCAAACATCACCTTACACTTGGAGTAACAAGGGTCAGGAAATCCCTTTCTCTGCACGTTACCCTGGACAGAGTTTGCCAGTGTAAACAACGTCCCAAGGTTTGGGGATCTTTGACTGGTGTGGCTGGATCCAATTAGTCACACCAACAAAGCAAAGCAGGAGGCAAAGTAGAAGAAGAAGAGAAGAAAAGATTGGATTTATACCCCGCCCTTCACTTGGAGTCTCAGAGCGGCTTACAAACTCCTTTCCCTTCCCCTTCCCACAACAGACGCCCTGTGAGGTAGCTGGGGCTGAGAGAGCTCTGACACAAACTGCTCTTTTTCAAGGACAGCTGTGCCAGAGCTTGTGACTGACCCAAGGTCACATCAGCAGGTGCAAGTGGAGGAGTGGGGAATCAAACCCGGTTCTCCCAGATTAGAGTCCGCACACTTAACCACTACACCAAACTGGCTCTCCGAGTAGGAAGATAAAGATAGCTTTATTAGTTAAAGGGAACCCTCTCAACTCAGTGTCAAGCCAAAGAGCTCAACTGAGTAACATTGGGTTCTAACTTGCAACATTCAAAGATGTGCTTGCCAGTCCACCTTTAGTGATAGCTGGCCTTCAAACCATGCCTTCTTTAAACTAAAGAGACCCCTTTGAAAAGTCTTAATGTCTTTACATTACTTTAAAGAAACCAGATTAAACGCTGTACCTATATAAAATCAATATGGCATCCATCACTTATTTAAATTGGCATAGGCGTTATAAAACCAATAGCCATTAATCTTGGCCTTCAAGAATTTGATAAGTTGAGAAGTTGCTATATTAAGAAGCCATCCGTGGCTTATTGCATTCGAACACTATTTTAGAAAAAGCCCTCTCTCTCTCTTTCTTTGTAAACTGGTTATGTGTCTAAATAACATATAAGCACTTTACAAAGAAAGACAGAAAAAGGGCTTTTCCTAAAATCATGTTTGAATTCTATAAGCCATGGATGGCTTCTTAAGAGGAAGAAGAGGAGGAGGAGGAGATGATGATGATGATGATGGGATTTATATCCCTCCCTTCACTACCCAAAGGTGTCTCAGAGCGGCTTACAGACTCCTTTCCCTTCCCCTCCCCACAACAGACACCCTGTGAGGTAGGTGAGGCTGAGAGAGCTCTGACAGAAACTGCTCTTTTCCAAGGACAGCTCTTATCAGAACTACGGCTTGCCCAAGGTCATCCAGCCAGGTGCAAGTGGAGGAGTGGGGAATCAAACCTGGCTCTCCCAGATTAGAGTCCGCGCACTTAACCACTACACCAAACTAGCAACTTATCTTATAGCAGGGGTGGCCAAACTTGCTAACTGTAAGAGCCACATAGAATAAACATCAGATATTTGAGAGCTGCAAGACATGAACAAATATCACACACACATTTTTATTTTAAAAGATGCACATTTGCTTTTTCTTAACATTAAATGAGACTACCAAAAACAAAAGGGGTAAAAACAGATATTGATAATGATATTTATTTGTCCAATGATATTTATTTGTTTGCTAATGATATTTATTGGCTGGAGAAGGGAAAACCAATAGAAAAAGCTTGCCTCCCCTTCGCTTCCCCAGCTGCCCTGCCAGGAGCCACACAATATGTGTGAAAGAGCCGTTACGTGGCTCCCGAGCCACATTTTGGCCACCCCGTCTTATAGCTTGTTAAAATACAACATTGGAAAAGCCTAATAAAAATCCGGCTTGCAAGTAAGCAGCTTTAATTCTGCAGCCTCTGTGCTCTGATAGACATAGGGGGATTTTATTTTGTACACAAATATTTTTAAATTCCTTGTAAAATGTTATTAAATTCACCCCTATATGCATTAGCCTGTTAGAACACACAGGGGGAGGGGGGGTCCTCTCTCAGAACAGCTCAAATTTGAAGCTGTTCCTTTCTGTCTATTTTGGTAACGTCCTTCAGACAGAGTTTATCTTGCTGACTAGTTCCTGTCTTTCTTTAGCAGCGGCTGGCTTTCTTAGCCCAGAAAAAAAGAAAGGCTTGGCCTGTTTAAAACAAGCTTTTAATACCAAAATAGAAGAATATTAATACAGGCAAAGCATCAATACATTTTGCAGTTGGGCTAGGTCTACAGACCATTAGCAATGATATATTCAGACCTCTGGGCCTAGCCTACACCAGTAACAGTAGCAAACAATGCTCCCTCTAAGCTATGGAGTCCTGTGAGCAAATATTATACTTAGTGAGCTACTGGCATTAAAGTTGTGAGCAGGTGATTTGGCTACTGCATAAATTAGTTTGCTCTGGAGCCATCCTTCCTGAGCGAAGACAAAGAAGTGTGAGTCAGAGGCTAAAAAATTGTGAGTTAGCAAGAGAGTTCAGTTCACCCGGAGAAAACAGGCACTTTGGAAGGTGGACTCTATGCTGGCCGGTAGCTACAGTGGATCCAGACAACAAGGGGGAAAAACTAGCATCAGAGAGGTCCCAGATATACAAATTCCACTAGTAGAAACACCATTAGAAACTGCCAAAATATAATTCGCTTTTTACACTATGAACCTTGTGGTCTGCTGAAATTACTGAAATCGGGTTCCACCTACCCACCGGCAAACTGAAGAAGACGCCTCTTTTGAGTATCTAGAACGGACGTCTGGCCGAGGCTGTTAGGAAAATATTACTATGGGGACTTCTCCTATCAAGTTCCACTGATTACATGGAGTTTAACGTCTTGTCTTCTAAGGAGGAAACAATGTATCTTATGCCTTATCAGAGTTATAGTATGCACTAATTTTGTTGTTGTGACAGCACCAACTTTATATCTCTTAAATACAGTTTATATTTTGGCAATTTCTGAGGGTGTTTCTCCTAGCGGAATCTGTATATCTGGGACCTCCTCATCTTCGGCATAACCAGAGCTGGAAGCAGAAAAAGCAATTTTTAAACTCAGAATTTGAGCGTGGTTTTATAATTAGAGGCAGGGAGCACAGGGTCAACCCTAGGTTGGAAGTGACTTGACGGCATTTTAACCCCCCACGCGCGCATAGGGAACAATATTCACCAGCCAAACACAATAAAGGTACAAAGCAGTAAAAAAAATAATCATCAGATTTGTCCCAAGACAGCCATGATCCAAACCAGTGAAACAGCTGTGTCATCTGGTCTGGGGGTGGAAGGGATTACTCCTCCTCCTTTGTCATGGACAAATCATTTCCTGGCAGTGCTAAGATTAAAGAAGGCTCAAAGTCTGGGTTCCAGTTGCCTGGGAGAAAGGAAGGCTCATAAAGATCCCCTGCAGAGGTGGGGGCCTCTCTTCATGTGGTCTGCCCCCCCCCCCCGAGAAGGCTGGGTCCAGGGGATTTCCTCACCCCAACAAAAATGAGTCCACTCGGAGAAAATGGCCGCTTTGGAAAGCGGACTCAATGGCCTTAGACCCCACCGAAGCCCTCATTTCCCCAAACTCTGCCTTTCTCAGGTGCCACACCCCAAATCTCCAGGTACTTTCCAACCCAGACCTGGCCACCCTAAATTCACAGATCATTGCCAACAGGCACAGAGTATCTACATGCGGTTAGGTACACTTTTCAAAAATTAAATAATTCAATGGTCTGTTTCTTCAAGGGAAATCCAGTCCAAATAACCGAAAATCTGCCGTAAGACCGGCGTGTGGATATACCCAACACTGACAGCACTGGAGGATGCGACAGGTTTGGGTTCTTCCCCCCGCCGGTTCTGCAAGATCCAGTACGGGGAGGAAGGGTGAGCCGGCCGGGCCAGATCTCCACTGCAAGATTCCCTTTCAAAGTTACAAACTGGGGTAGGGGGACCGCAGCTATAACATTTGCAGGGATACTGCAAACTGCTTTGGGACCAGCGTTCCCTCTCAGCTGAGTTAGTGTGAGCTAGCTCACAGTTTTTTAGCCTCTGGCTCACACATTTTTGTCTTAGCTCAGAAAGGAGCGCTCCAGAGCAAACTAATTTACGCAGTAGCCAAATTACCTGCTCACAACTTTCATGCCAGTAGCTCACCAAGTAGAATTTTTGCTCACAAGACTCCATAGCTTAGAGGGAACATTGTCTGGGACTACTGTTTTTAATGGTAAATTCTGCGGGGATGGGGTATTTTAATCACTCCAGAGTAAGGCCTTCCTCCCTGTGTGATTCATGTGCTAAACTGACCTTGGAAAAAATCTTTGCTCTGCGACAGAGGTTGATTCTGAGAGTGTCGAGGGGTACAGTGAGTCAGACTTCTCTCTGTCATTGGCACGTTAATAACAAAATTACTTTTTTGGTTACTTGTGTAAGGCCCCGTTCATCAGATAAAACGCGTGCCTTTCAACGCGTGCCTTCCAGCAGGTGGCAGCCGAGGGTCGCCAACTCCGTGCGCACGCATCCCCACACACACACACCCACACCCCAGACAGAAAGTGCCAGTTTGCAAAAGAGCAGGAAGCGAGAAAGTGTCTCGGCCGGCTGCGCCTCCTTAGCAACTCCGCTCGCTCGAGAAGCTCCTCCCGAGCCCACCCGCCCTCCTTCCTCGACGCCGACGTCTGGAGCGGCTCCTGGCGGGCCGGGTGCCTGGATCACAACGCGCTGGTGGGAAAGGTAAAGCCAGAGGAGGGCAGAGAAGCGTGTGGGGCAAAGGGTGCAAAGCGTTTGCAAGAAACCAGGGGGCAGCCCCGTCGGGGCGGCTTTGCAAAACTCCTTCGCCTCCTTTCCCAAGTACAAGTGGTCTTTGTAGAGCAGAGATTCCGCGGAGTAGCAGCAGGTCGGTTGTGGGATCGACCCGGGAACCTCGGGACGGTCGTGGGCGGGTCTCCCGACTGCCGGTTGCAAGCGACTAAATAGGTCGCCGAGGAGTTTCGCTGGACGTTGGGAAGGTAGATTAAAATGCGAATTTCGTGTATGCTCGCATGCTAGCCGTGAATAACCGCGGAGATCGGCGGAGTTTCGTTTTCCACCCATGCTCAGCATTTGTACCAGTCGCCCTAACTAAATGTTGTGGCCGTAAAGGTAAAGGTTCCTTTGCTCGAAAGCCAGTCGAGTCCGACTCTAGGGTTGCGGTGCTCATCTCCGTTTCAAAGGGTAAGAGCCAGCGCTGTCCGAAGACGTTTCCGTGGTCATGTGGCCGGCATGACTAGACACCAAGGCACACAGAACGCTGTTCCCTTCCCACTGAAGTGGCACCTGTTTATCTACTTGCAATTTCTTGCTTTCGAACTGCTAGGTTGGCAGGAGCTGGGACTAGAGACGGGTCTCGAACTGCTGAACTACTGACCTTCCACAGCCTGCAGTTCAGCGTCTTAACCACTTGAGCCACCGCAGCCGTAGCCTGTGCTAATTTTGGCGGGGAACTGCAAATAGCTGCTGCTAAAAGTTAACAAGAGCTGCTGGGCGATTCTGCATCTGGCATTCGCGCCACATTTTCTCGACTGGGAGGGGGAAAGTGCAGCTCAAAACTGCATTCAGATAGCCTGGGGCAACGCCATACTGACTGCAAAGTCACCCCTGAACAGCCGTAAATGTATGCAGAAGGTACCATAAAATCCGATGGTCAAAGGAAGTGAAAGTGGTATGGGAGAGGGTGGAGGCTAACATAAAATCCGATTATCAAAGGAAGTCACACACACTAAATAATCCACTGTTAATCCATTTTCAATGCACTTTCCAACTGGATTTTAACAGGTCACACGGTAAACTCCAGTTGGAAAGTGAACCGAAAGTGGGTTATTTAGTGTGTGTGACCGCAGCCAGTGATAGCAAAAACCGCTGGCGTTGTGATCCCAACCCGGAACAGTTCCAGAATAAGAGACTGGCCTGTGTGGTCAGCAGCCTTGGCATGAATGAAAAATGCCCTCTGGGGATTTTTACAGTGACCAGATGCAAAGCAAAACGGAGCTTTTGTCCGTTTTAGTTTTTTGCACTAGGGAGAATTACAACAAATGCAGCTTCTCGCCTCCACAAGGAGGGCAGTGCGCCCAGCCCCCTTTTTCTTTTTGAAAAGAGTTTAATCCTGTGTCTTTGAAGCAGTCAATCAGCCAGTGAACTGGCTGAAATCCATATGCTGGTTTACCAAAAACCTCAATGACTTTTTGGAATGTTCGAGGAAATGAGGCAGAAGTTACCATTTGTCAGGACAGGCTGTTTGCAGTGTTTTGCTTCATTTCGAGTTGCAAGAGGTCACCATTAGAACCTGTTCCTTTTTTCTTTTCTTTTTTAAGACGGTACTCTTAATTTCCACCCCTCAGCCATTTTAAAGCTTCTGGCTGTTGGGGGATTTCAAGGTCCAAGAAATTGCCTGGGACCCCCGCTAACGTTCTGTGGTCTGGATTGAGACTGGCAAGAGAGTTTTCATACAGAGAGACAACCAAGACAGCGGCTTTACCTTAGAAACTATTTATTGAATCTTTAACACCATAATGCAGAAACTTTCAAACATATAACATTCTAGTAGGCAGCTTACAGAAATTATTCTTATTATTATTAATAACAATAATAACAACAATAATAATTTTATAGATCGCCCTTCCCCATAGGGCTCAGGGCAGTGAGCAACAAGTTAAAATACACAAAAATAAACTAGTTACAAATTACTGACTATAGGCCCCGGTCACACGGGGCGGATATCGCGGGGGTGGGGGGGCTGTTTGCCCTGGAGCAAACTACTGCGCGGCAGCCAGATCAAACGTCCCGACGACGTCCCGTGGTTGGGGGAGGTGCCGATCATACCTCACTCCTGCGGCGTGGCAAAGAAGCGGTGCCGAGGGGTTGTGTTGTTTTTTAACCCAAGTGTTCGCTTGTGCGCACCCGTGGAGACTTGACAACAAAAAAAACTTTTCGTGACGGGACATGGGCGGGCACCGGATTCCACGAGCTAACACCGGAAACGTGATCTGACGCCCGCCCTTGCCCCGCAGTTTCCGGAAACTAGTACCTCGGAGGTACTAGTTTTTTACAGCGCATCTTCGGAGTGAAGCCTCGGGTGAGCCACGGGAGCTCTACGCTTCCCAGATGTGGCGGTGAGATCACGCCCGGAAAATCCGCCTACCTTCCGTCTCTCTAGCGTGCCTAATGCTCCGTGTGACCGGGGCCATAAATGATCTTCAGATCTAAAACTATTAAATACAGATTTGTGATGGGGGGAGTGATAAAGAGCAGAGCAGAGATAGCACTAAAACAGTTGGGACCAAATCCCATTTGTTTCAAGGCAGATTTTAGATAAACAATGTCCAGTTTGTCAAATGCCTTTTTGCTATCAAAGGCCACTATGACCGATTCTAATTGCTTGGATTTACCAGGAATAAATCCTGACTGATCTTGGTGAATGTAGTGGGTAATGATTTTATTAAGTCTTGTTGCTAATAATGAAATACTTAAGTAGAGTGCACTGGAATTCTATCGAGGATATATACTGGATGGCTACCAAAATCCATAAGGCAGGGTGTTGGCATACAACCCCGAACAAAATAAATCACTGAGATTGTATACCTGTAAAATCCCATATAGCTGTGAATTAGACCTGTGACAAACATCGGATTAGCTTGACAAATCCAACCCCTCCTACACAGCAGGCATGAGTTTTGCCTGTTATCATTTGTGAAGGCATGAAGACCCAGACTCTTCTGGCACCTTTTCAGTTGGCAGTGTGTATATTACGTAATCTCTGTTAGGTTTAGGACTAGCACCGTGGATAAACTATTCTTTCTAGTTTGGTGAGCCAGTTTGGTGTAGTGGTTAAGTGTGCGGACGCTAATCTGGGAGAACCGGGTTTGCTTCCCCACTCCTCCACTTGCAGCTGCTGGATGACCTTGGGCAAGCCATAGTTCTGACAAGAGCTGTCCTTGAAAGGGCAGTTTCTGTCAGAGCTCTCTCAGCCCCACCTACCTCACAGAGTGTCTGTTGTGGGGAGGGGAAGGGAAAGGAGTTTGTAAGCCGCTCTGAGACTCCGAGTGAAGGGCGGGGTATAAATGCAATCTCTTCTTCTTCTCCTCCTCCTCCTCCATCATCATCATCATTGGTGAATCCACTCTTGCTTGGAAAAATACAGCAGTTAGCCAGACTGTTGTTGTTAGCCATTCAGTCATGTCCAGCTTTTGCCGATTCTATGGGCCAGCTCTCTCCACGTTTTCTGATCTTGTACTGTTTTCTTTGAGTCGTTCCATGCTCAGACTGGTGTCGACTTTTATGGTGTCTAGCCAGACTACAGAGCCTTATGGGGATGCTAAACTAAAGACCTGATAGATTAGAGGCCAGGACTAATTCAAAATGGCTAAGAGAGAACAGAACCCAGTCTCACTATCAATAAATTCTCCAATACTGGCCCGGCAACATCCACCTTGGGTGAGGCGGGTAATGTGAGGACAAGAAGGCAATCGGGTGCAAGGAGAAAGATGAGCTGGGGGAAAGCAGGAGGACGAAGGAAGATGGAGACAAAATAGTTGAGATGGGTCACATCATGTGGGGAGAAGATGCAAGAAGAGCCCTAGGCTGGGAGCAGTACTAAGAGGCCTGGTTGGTTGAACTGTTCTGGGTGTTTTAAGGCTTGGATCTAGAAGAGGAGCAGGGATGGATGCCAGCCTCCAGGTGGGACCTGGGGATTTCCTGGAATTACACCTCATCTCCAGGCGACATAGATCAGTTCCCCTAGAGAAAATGCCTGCTTTGGAGGGTGGACTCTATGGCACTGTATCTGACTAAGGCCCCCGTCCTCCCCAGACTCTATCCCCATATATCCAGGAGTTTCCCAACCTTGAGCTGGCAACCCTACCCCCCCCCATCCCCTGCTGGTGGCCAGGGAAGACCTGGCAACCTTAGGAGGAGGTGGGGTTGCATTGCTGTAAGGTAGAGTCCCCAGGTCCCCCCTGGCCACCATCGGGGGATGCGGGGCAACGCTCCCTCTAAGCGGTGGAGTCTTGTGAGCAAAAATTCTATTTTGTGAGCTACTGGCATTGAAGTTGTGAGCAAGGGATTTGGCTACTGCATAAGTTAGTTTGCTCTGGCGCTGTCCTTTCCTGAGCTAAGTCAAAAAAAATGTGTGAACCGGAGGCTAAGAAACTGTGAGCTAGCTCACACAAGCTCAGTTTAGAGGGAACACTGATGGCGGGGTAAGATCACCAGACCCAGGTTGGGAAACGCCTGGAGATTTGGGGATGGAGCCTGCAGAAGACAGGGACCTCATTGGAGTACAGTGCCGTAGAGTCCACCCTCCAAAAATGTTCATTTTCTCCAGGGGAACTGGTCTCTGTAGTTTGGAGATGGCCTGTAATTCCAGGGGATCCCCAGGTCCCACCTGGAGGCTGGCATCCCTACATAAGGAGATGGGAGGGAGGGAGACGGCCATTTTGTTGAGGACAAAGGGTTAAGTGGGTTATAGTTAGACCTGAGCTGAGGGGAAGACCTCTACACCTCTCCTATATCTGGAGTAGCCCTTCTGTGGCTTTGAAAGGACCTGGAAAAGAGGCTGGTTTGAGGCCTAGTGCAAGATGGCTGCCGAGCCTCCCGACGAATCAGAGCTTAGCGGAAGCCGCTCTAAAAAGTGATTTGGGATTAGTTTAAGTGAAGTTGAGGGGCTGTTCCCTCAGTGGTTACAAGGCTGAGGAACAACCGTGGGGCAGTGTCAGCTGTTCACTGCTTGTCTGTATTTCTCTGTGGAATTATGATATTAAATATTCACCGTCCTTAACCAAGGCTAATTGTTTAGATGGTAACTTTGGCCCTTCCCAGGAGGGAGACGGCCATTTTGTTGAGGACAAAGGGTTAAGTGGGTTATAGTTAGACCTGAGCTGAGGGGAAGACCTCTACACCTCTCCTATATCTGGAGTAGCCCTTCTGTGGCTTTGAAAGGACCTGGAAAAGAGGCTGGTTTGAGGCCTAGTGCAAGATGGCTGCCGAGCCTCCCGATGAATCAGAGCTTAGCGGAAGCCGCTCTAAAAAGTGATTTGGGATTAGTTTTAAGTGAAGTTGAGGGACTGTTCCCCCAGTGGTTACGAGGCCGAGGAACAACAGTGGGGCAGTGTCAGCTGTTCGCTGCTTGTCTGTATTTCTCTGTGGAATTATGATATTAAATATTCACCGTCCTTAACCAAGGCGAATTGTTTAGATGGTAACTTTGGCCCTTTCCAGGAGAGCAAATTTTCTTGGGTCCTTTCTCTCGCTGATGCTGTTGATTCTGTCTCCTTCCTGTTATGTCATCTTTGTCTTCTCCTTCTCCGCCTCCTTCTTCCTTTTTTTCCCTTTCTTCCTCTTCCTCTTGACTTCCATCTTCACTTTCATTGTCCTCCGACCCTGATATCTCCAACTCCTCTCCAAATCTTTTAATATTAATGTTGTGTGTAACTATGGTGGATTAACGGTGGGCTTTCCTTTGGTATGGGCCTTGGGCAGTGATGGTGAACCTTTTAGAGACCAAGTGCGCAAACTGCGACCCAAAACCCACTTATTTATCGCAAAGTGCCAACACGGCAATTTAACCTGAATACTGAGGTTTTACTTTAGAAAAAACAACCCATACATTAACTTAAGATGATCCAAACAAAAGTAAGAAAGCAATCCCAAATGCTTTCATTTACTTAAAATTATTTGGCAGAGAATTCGACACTTTAATGATGGTCTGGGCCTGGCTGGGGCGATGGCACCTGTGCCCACAGAGGGGCTCTGAGTGCCACCTCTGGCACCCGTGCCATAGGTTCGCCACCACTGGCCTAGGGGTTAAAATGAAGATTTAGATCCCTAAAGGAGTAAAAAAGAGACAACGTTTGAACGTTTGTACGGTGTAGAAGCAGGAGCATTGAACTAGGACTGGAGAAACCTCGGTTCAAATCCTTGCTTGGCCATGAAGGTCACTGGGTGAGCTGGGATCGGTCATATGTTTTCAAGTCTAAATTACCTCACAGGATTGTTGTAAAGAACAGAGGAGGGGGGACCAAGTGCACCCCTTTGAGCTGTTTGGGTGAAGAATGGGAAAAATAAATTACCTAAGACTGGTCGGATTTTGTGTGTCTGGGTTAGCTTTGTCTCCCAGACAATACTCACCTCTTTCCAAAATTTCCAAACCCCCTGCAAAGATGAAGAGAACACCTCAGTCTTGTTTGTGAGTTCCTTGCCGGGTTTTACCAGGCCCATTTATCCTTGGTCTGTGGCGCTAGCAAAGACCTTGTGTGAGGAAACATTATTCTATGTCAAACGTAGAATTTATTTTATTTGGTATATTTTCTCGGAGATAAAGCCTATTCGTTTATCTTTATTATATTTCGAAGTTAGCTGATTTTTCTCCCACCATGAGAAGCGTAAACCACAGGCCTCCATATCCTGTTGCGACTTTAGCTCAGCATTATTGTCAAGTAAGACCTCATATGTCACTGTTCTTACCCCTGACGCTAGATGTGGTAACATCATTGCCTCTAGGGGAGCAATCCAACTTGGTATCTTGGTATAAAACCGTGCTCTCCCTCCAAGCGGCTCAGGGCAGTGTACATAGTTCTCCCTGCTTCCATTTCAACCTCACAACATCCTTGTGAGGTAGGTTATTGCCTAAAGTGTGTAGCCGACCCTCCGGTTAAGGTTAAAATTGAGTGCCAACCTGTCAATAAATCGAAACCTTCCAGGCATAACAATCTAGTATTTTTTAAGGTCACCCATTCTCTAAGCCAGGTTAAGGCCGCCGCTTGATAATAGAGTTGCCAATTTGGCACAGCTAATCCTCCATTTTGCGGTTTCTCTTGCAAAAATTTTAGTCTAATCCTAGGTTTTTTATTTTGCCAGATGAACCCTCTGACCAATCTGTCTAGCCTTTGAAAGAATTTAGCATTTCGTAATACTGGTATGGTTTGAAATAGAAATAAAAACCTTGGCAACACCGACATTTTAATAGCTGCTACTCTCCCCATCATTGAGAGCTGTAATGATGACCAATTTGCTAATTGCTTCTTCGTATAATCCAATAACCTTTCATAATTGTCCTGAATCAAGGAACTTGTTTTGTTTGTAATGAATACCCCTAAGTATTTAAGTTTCTTTACCACTTTAAACTTTGTGATATCTTCAATTGTCTTGATGATGTTTTCTCTGCAGTTCTTTGTTAAAACCTTAGTTTTTGCATTATTAATTCTAAATCCGGCCAGCTGACCGAAACTTTCAATAGTATTTATTAAAGGTATTACCGACTCTGTCGGTTCCATCATGACAATTGCCATATCATCAGCATATATCTGTAGTTTATCATTCACATCGCCTACTGCCAGATCTTTTAAATGGAGATACCGGGGATCAGTGTTCCTGGCAGCAGCCTAGGGTTGCCAGGTCCCAAATAAAAAGTAAAGGGAAGAGGGGACAACCTTGACGTGTGCCTTTCCCTATTTCTATTGTCTCTGACATATCCTTGTTGATAATAATTTTTGCCTCTTGTTTCCTATATAATAGCGCTATTCTGTTTGAGAACTCCTCCCCACATCCCATCTCTTTTATATTTTCTGCCATATAATCCCAGCTGATGTTATCAAAAGCCTTCTCGGCATCAAGGAAGACTACAGCCAACTTGTCTCAGGCGCTGTGCCAGAATGGATGTATAGATTTTGTAGTCGACATTCAACAGAGATATCGGCCGATAATTTTTTATCTCCATCTCATCCGTATCTTTCTTATGTATTAAAGATATCACCGCAGAGCCCCAAAAGATTGGTATTTCTTTATTTCCCTCTGACATCACCCTTTTCATCACCAAACTAATTTCATTCTCAAATGTGACATAGAATTCTGACGGCAGGCCATCTGGGCCAGGGGATTTATTCTTTTTTTGTTTCTTAATTGCCTGGATGATCTCCGCCATTGCAATAGGCTGCTCCAAATCTTTTTTTTGTTGTTCCGTTATCTTCTTGATATTTGGGTTATTTTGTACATAGCTCTTGATCTTAGATTGTTCAACAACTTGTTTCTCATGTAACTTTGTGTAGAAGTTCTGGACAATTGATTTAAGTTTTTTTGGCTCACTTACTTCTGTCCCTCTTTCATCTTTTAAACTTTTAATTAATCTTGCCTTTTCTTCTTGTCTTAATTTATATGCGCGCCACCTAGATGACTTATTTGCGTTTTGGAAAAAATTCTGTCTCGCATAAATAATCTTCTTTGCTAGTTCTTCGTTCAAAAGGCAGTTTATCTCATGTTGAAAATTTTTAATTCGCATCCACGCTTGCGGTGATTCCGGGTTTGATTTCAGTTCTTCTTCTTCCTTTGATAAATTTCGCCTAAGCTCCTGAATTTTTTGGTTCATTTTTTTCTTTCTGTTAATTGACTCTCTAATGAAGATTCCCCTGATAAAAGCCTTAAACGTATCCCATACAGTTATTAATTTAGTTTCTGGGCGCAAATTAAATTGAAAAAATTCTCTTATCTCTTTTTTGACTTTTTCCAAAAACTCTCGATCTTTCAACAAAAATACATTAAGCCTCCATCTTGTCTGCCGTTGTGTCTCCGTCAGAGTCACCAACACTGGTTTGTGATCTGCATATGTCATTAGCTGGATTTCGACCTCTTTCACCTCCATCAGCATTGATCCACTTAGCCAGATCATGTCTATTCTGGACCATGACTTATGTCGTCCCGAATAATAAGTGTAGTCATATCTATCTGGATTTTTTATTCTCCAGACATCCAGAAGATTTAGGTCCTCTGCCAAGTTAATAAACGCTAGTGGAAGCTCTCCTCCTTTCCTATGTCGTCCTGCCTGGTTCTTTCTATCATAGATCTTATTATTTACCGCATTTAAGTCTCCTGCTAGACATATTTCATCGGCGTCCAGCTGCAATAATCTTTCTCTTAGTTTTTGATAAAATCTCTGTTGTCCCGAGTTTGGGGCGTAGACATTCACTATTAAAAGCTTTCTCCCTCCCCTTGACACCCTAACTATTATCACTCTACCATCCTTACAGTACTTCAAATGAGGACACACCATCGATTCATACAGGGGCATTATGATACTGGCTGATTTGTTTTCAGATCAAGTCAGTGTTCCCCAAACTGAGAAATGAAGATTTGTTTCTTTTACATGTTTCATGGTACAAGTTGTATTCTCTCTCCCTCTTCCTCCTAGGCCTCGACTTGATCCGATGGCAGTTCAGCCCCCAGTGGCTTTGCCCAGCAGGGCTGAGCTCATAGATGAGTATGACATCATTACTGAAGAGGACATTGAAGAGATTAAAGACGCTCTTGAAGGAGGGAGAATGGCGGATGCGGCCTCCAAGATCATGGAAAACTTGCAGGCCTTGGAGAGTGCCCGTCTTGATATCGCGGTGACGGGAGAGTCCGGTTCCGGGAAGTCCTCCTTTGTTAACGCCATCCGGGGCCTAGGGGATGAAGATGATGTCTCTGCCGCCACCGGGGTGGTGGAGACAACTTTAAAGCCCACTCCTTACCCGCACCCCAAGCACCCCAATGTGACGGTCTGGGACTTGCCAGGAATCGGTACTCCCGACTTCCGGTCCGACACTTACCTGGAACAGGTGAACTTCTCCCGCTACGACTTCTTTATTCTCATCGCCTCCGAACGCTTCAAAACCAACCATGCCCGTCTGGCCCAAGAGATCCAGCAGCAGGGCAAACGCTTCTATTTCGTGCGTTCCAAAGTGGACGCGGACCTGGAGGCCTCCAAGAAGCGTCGGCCGCACGCCTACGACGAAGAGGGCATCCTGCGGCAGATCCGCGAGAATTGCCAAGCGTGCCTGGAGGCCGAAAACGTGGCCTCGCCCCGTATCTTTCTCCTTTCCAACTGGGAGCTGAGCAAGTACGACTTTGTGCGGCTAGAGGAGACCTTGGAGCAAGAGCTTCCGAGCCACAAGAGACACGCCTTCCTCCTGGCCCTGCCCAACATCTCGCTAGAAATCTTACGCAAAAAGAGGGAGGCCTTACAGAAGCAGATCTGGAAGCTGGCTACCGTCTCGTGCGGCGTGGCGGCCGTGCCCATCCCGGGTCTCTCCGTGGCCTGCGACGTGACTATCCTGATCAGGTCCCTCTCGGAGTACCGCAAGAACTTTGGCCTGGATGACGACTCCCTGGAGAAGTTGGCAGAGAAGGTGGACAAGCCCGTGGAGGAGATCAAAGAGGTGATTAAGTCCCCGTTGGCCAGAGAGATCTCCAGGGATGTGGTGGTGAAGATGCTAACCAAGGCAGGTGGCGGGGCATTGATGGTGGCCGAGTATTTTGCTAGCACAGTGCCCATATTTGGTTCTCTGGCTGCTGGGGGGATCTCCTTTGGAACCACCTACTACATGCTCCGGAGTTCCCTCAACGAAGTCGCAGACGATGCTCACAGAGTTCTCATCAAGGCCTTTGAGTCTGATGTTTGAAAAGCTTCTTGGGGTGTCGTACGGAAGATCTGGGACAGATGCTCCTCTCTAAATACAACTCTGGTGAAACCAATGGAGTTTTTTCTTTGCTAGCTGAGCACCTGTCTCGTCCTCTGGTGTAAGCAGGAAGGGGGTACAGGACCGTGAACGCTGGCCAATCACAGCACTGAGGTTTGCCCTTCTGCATTTCTGTTTCTTTGGCCGAGTTCGGTTCTTGTGGATTCCACCCCAGGAATCCTGAAAAAGGATATGGTGTAAGTGGCTAACGAACTTCGAAAACTTCTCACCGGTATTTTCGCAAATTTGCCATTTCCAAGACTCCATGAGCTTACACCTGTATGAAATTGTTTTAAAGTTGTTGCGTAGAGGTGCTCGAAACTTAGTGCTTCTGGACTCAGCACATAGGTTTCCTTGCAAAGGCCTAGTCCGTTCATTGACAAGGCAGAAGATCAGTTTTTAGTATGATCTCCCTGGCGATCTGTAATTTAAAAAGAGTTTACTAGATAATCTAGTTTATGGTGCTGTACTTCTGCAGAAAATTCAACTTCCTCGATTTCATGGGAGCAGTGTTTACGTATACGGGACAGTATCAGGGGACTCGTTTTGTGGACGTATGGTCTAAAAATTGATTCCTCTGCAGTCCTGCATTTTTGATGGTTTTCAGTCTACCACTTTGAGCCACTCGAACCTTAAGGCCTTCTTCCCTTCCCACTTCTTTCTGGGAAAGGGCATCTAATCGCCTTGAGCATACTGATAACTTGACCTGGCGGAGTGACACTGCAAAAAACCCCACCCCCAAATGAAATCTTCTGGCTTCTGTGGAGGGAAAAGCTAATGCTGAAACCTGCTCCCATCCTATCTTCTAATTTTGGGGGGATTTTTTTTTAAAAAAAAAAATCTCTTTTTTTAATGAGAGAAATTAAAAGATTGAAAATCCTTTTTAAGACGAAGGGCCTTTATTTTCACAAATGAGTTTGCTCCGTTGCAGGTCCTAGCCTTCAACTTTTTTTAAAAACTGAATTCACATAAAATTTGCTTCTTTACTACTGGCTCCAGTCTGGACAATTCTTCCACTTTTATAAAATCTGTTGTAATCGAGTGGTAGAGTTCTCTTTAGGGAAGGAAGAAGTTCTACAGAAACATGACCATTGGGGGGGAGGGACTCCCAGATGTCAGACCGTGACTGCTGGGAATTGGTATAGCTTTCTGTACAGGAAGAGGCTTGGGGGGGGGCTTTGGGGGGGGGAGAGCCATGCAGCAAGAACCCTGAGGGACACCGTATTGCTTCAGTCACATTTTAAAATGCTCCCCTACAAGTAAAAAACAAGTGTACGTCAGGGAGACAGACTCTGGCTTAGCCCACTTCTATTTGGAGGGAGGTTTTTATTGATATATTCAAAGCTCCGTCTCTTGTGCTCCCGAATGGCACAGTCTGTTGTTTCACCTTTATCACCTCATTCTGTTGCACATATAGATAACATAATTGGGCACCGTCCTCAGGTGTGTCTGCCAAGTTCCGTAGGATCCAGTTCAGAGTCCAAAGTACCCCAGAGACTGGGTTTATTGGGCTCTCTGTACAGGGGCGGGGCTGGGATTCAGTTGCAAAACCCATTCATCTGCTTAACGTAAGAACATAAGAACATAAGAGACGCCAATGTTGGATCAGGCCAAAGGCCCATCCAGTCCAACACTCTGTGTCACACAGTGGCCAGAAATACCAGTGCCATCAGGAGGTCCACCAGCGGGGCCAGGACATTAGAAGCCCTCCCACTGTTGACCCCCCCAAGCACCAAGATGACAGAGCATCACTTGCCCCAGAGCCCCTGTCTATACCTTGCGGCTAATAGCCACTGATGGACCTCTGCTCCATATGTTTATCTAATTCCCTTTTGAAGCCGTCCATGCTTGTAGCCGCCACCACTTCCTGTGGCAGTGAATGCCATGTGTTAATCACTCTTTGGGTGAAGAAGTACTTGTCATGCAGAAGGTCCCAGGTTCGATCCCTGGCATCGCCAGTGAAAGAGTCTAGAGGCGAGCAATGGGAAAGACCTCAGCCCGAGACCCTGGAGTGCTGCTGCCAGTCTTTTAAGTGTGCAGTAATGACTGTGGTAGATCAAAGGTCAGATTCAGTATAAGGCAGCTCCCTATGCGTTCATGTGCACTGGTATTGAACCCCTGACAGTGTGCAAGAGAAAGCCAGTGTCAGAAGAGTTCTCGTGTGCTGTGCATCCTGTAGGAATGGGGAGTGGAGGGAGAAGAACAGGAAGGAACTCCACAACCCTCCTTCTGTTTGAAATAACACTTTGGAGTGGTGTAGTGGCTAGGAGTGCTGACTCTAACCTGGGAGAACCGGGTTTGATCCTCCACATGCAGCTGCTGGTGTGACCTTGGGTCAGTCACAATTTCTCTCAGAGCTGTTCTCACACGAGCAGTTCTCAAAAGAGCTCTCTCAGCCCCACCTACCTCACAGGGTGCCTGTTCTGGGAGGGGGAGGGAAAGGAGATGGTAAGCCGCTCTGAGACTCCTTTGGGTAGTAAAGGGCCGGGTATAAATGCAATGGAGCTGCGGTGGCTCAAGTGGTTAAGACGGTGAACTGCAGGCTGTGGAAGGTCAGTAGTTCAGCAGTTTGAGACCCAGGGTGCCGCATGACGGAGTGAGCTCCCATCTCTAGTTCCAGCTCCTGCCAACCTAGCAGTTCGAAAGCAAGAAATTGCAAGTAGATAAATAGGTACCGCTTTGCTGGGAAGGTAACAGCGTCCTGTGCGCCTTGGTGTTTAGTCATGCCGGCCACATGACCACGGAAACGTCTTCGGACAGCGCTGGCTCTTCGGCTTTGAAACGGAGATGAGCACCGCAACCCTAGAGTCGGAGTCAACTGGATTTCGAGCAAGGGAACCTTTACCTTATAAATGCAATCTCTTTTCTTAACTGCAGCATCACCCTAAGTGGTAGGGTAGGTTCTTCCGTCTTCAGATGGCATCCCCGTGTTTATTGACAAGGCAGAAAGTACCACTGAGCTCCAGAGGGTGCATTTCCGTTCAAAGGTGCCTTGGATCAGCTGGTTTTCAGGGATCAGTGAGGACTGAGAAGGAATAAAGGGCACAACTCCTTTAGGCAAAATCAACCCAGATTCTGGGAGCATTTTAAAACCTAGCTTTCAAGAAACGTCCAGGGCCAAGAACCTATTTTAGGTGAAGAGGCCATTTGTTTAGCAACAGACTGAAACAGTTGTTCTGCTGGAAGCAGTCCCACTAAGTCAGGGCTTCGGGCCAATTTAACATAAGAACATAAGAGAAGTCAGTGTTGGATGAGGCCAATGGATCATCCAGTCCGACACTCTGTCACACAGTGGACAGAAATACCAGGTGCTGTCAGGAGGTCCACCAGTGGGGCCAGGACACTAGAAGCCCTCCCACTGTTGCCCCCCCCCAAGCACCAAGAAGACAGAGCATCACTTGCCCCAGACCAAGAGTTCCTATCTATACCTTGTGGCTCATAGCCACTGATGGACCCCTGCTCCATATGTCATGTGTTAATCACTCTTTGGGTGAAGAAGTACTTCCTTTTATCCGTTCTAACCTGACTGCTCAGCAATTGCATTGCGTGCCCGCAAGTCCTTGTATTGTGAGAAAGGGAGAAAAGTACTTCTTTCTCTGCCTGCTCTTATCCCATGCACAATCATGTAAACCTCGATCGTGTCACGCCTCAGCTGTCATTTCTCCAAGTTGAAGAGCCACAAGCGTTTTAACCTATCTTCATAGGGAAAGTGTTGCAACCCTTTTGTCATTCCAGTTGCCATTTTCTGCACTTTTCCCATTGCTATAATATCCTTTCTGAGGTGTCGTGACCAGAATCAAGGCTTCATTGGCATGAGCTGTCATTTTGGGACAGACAAGACAGGCGAGGACCTCGTCTAGTCCTTAAGCACGTGCCAGTGTAGTCGTGATATTTGGGTGGAGCTGGTAAGATGCCCGGCATTGCCCAATTAAGTCAATCCAGCCTACCCTGTCCTAAAAGTTGCCTGACTGCTAAAGAAACATTCTAAGAGTTCCGGTATGTGAAGGCGTTGCAAGAATTTCCGAGCTCAGTCCTCCCTTCCCACAACCCAGAACTTTAGCGCTGCTTTTTCTCACTTTTTTGGGGGGGGGGAGAGTGGGAAGTATATTTCCTTCCCTTCTTTAGAGGATGTGTTCTTTGAAGTCCAGGCTATGCTCAGCCTGAAAGAGTCTAGACCAGTGATGGCGAACCTTTTAGAGACCGAGTGCCCAAACTGCGACCCAGAACTCACTTATTTATCGCAAAGTGCCAACACGGCAATTTAACCTGAATACTGAGGTTTTATTTTAGAAAAAACAACTCATACATTAACTTAAGATGATCCAAACAAAGTAAGGAAAGCAATCCCAAATGCTTTCATTTGCTTAAAATTATTTGGCAGAGAATTCGACACTTTAATGATGGTCTGGGCCTGGCTGGGGCGATGGCACGCGTGCCCACAGAGAGGGCTCTGAGTGCCACCTCTGGCACCCGTGCCGTAGGTTTGCCACCACTGGTCTAGGTGTGCTTGCAAGGAGAAGAGATACACAGAACAGAGACTGCAAAACACAGGAACAGCTAGATTGTTAGTCTCTTGACAAGGTGTTACTGGACTCCAAACATTATTGGGGTATAAGCCTTTGAGGGCCAAAGTTTCCTTCATCAGATATTCTCATCACAGAAAGGTCAAACCCACAAAATCTTGTTGGCCTCTTAAGGTGCTTTTTTTTTTGCTGTCAAGTCGCAGCCAGTTCATGGTGACCCCAAATGGGCTTTGAGATCAGAGATTCACAAAAGTGCGTGCCTTGCCACAAATGTTATCCTTTAAGGTACTGCAGGACTCTTGCTCTTTTCTACTGCTTCACACAGACTGAGAGCCAGTTGGGTGTAGTGGTTAAGACTCTAATATGGGAGAACCAGATTTGATTCCCCACTCCCTCACATGCAACTGCTAGTGTGACCTTGGGTCAGTCACAAGTTCTCTCAGAGCTGTTCTCTCTCAAGGGCAGTTCTCTCAGCCCAACCTACCTCACAGGGTGTCTGTTGTGGGGAGCAGGGCTATATTTGGGCAGGAACGCACAGGAACGGAGTTCTGGCTGGCTTCCAAGTTGGCCACGCCCAGCAAGAACTCATTAGCATAATAGGACACACCCAACAGCAGAAACTCATTCGGATTGGCTACATTAGGGGTGTGTGGCCTAACATGTAAAGGAGTTCCTACTACAAAAAAAGCTCTGGGTTTTGACAACAAACAAGGTAAACAGAATAACAAGCAAAAGGTGGGTGTGGCTGGATGACCACACTTCTGGTAACATGGGGGTGTGGCCTCATATGCCAATGACTTGTGCTGTCAGGGGTGTGGCCTATTCTAATGAGTTCCTGCTGTTGGGTGTGGCATATTATGCTAATGAGTTCCTGCTGGGCTTTTTCTACAAAAAGAGCCTCGGTGGGGAGGGGAAGGGAAACGGATTGTAAGCCGCTCTGAGACTCCTTCGGGTGGTGCAGGGTGGGGTATAGCTCCAATCTCCTCTTCTATCCATCTTGATCTATGTTCAGAGCTCTGCTCCCTCTAAGCTGCGGAGTCTTGTGAGCAAAAATTCTACTCTGTGAGCTGCTGGCATGAAAGTTGTGAGCGATCGGTTCGGCTGCTGCATAAATGACCTTGCTCTGGAGCCATCGGTGGGGAGGGAAGGGAAACGGATTGTAAGCCGCTCTGAGACTCCTTCGGGTGGTGCAGGGTGGGGTATAGATCCAATCTCTTCGATCCATCTTGATCTATGCTCAGAGCTCTGCTCCCTCTAAGCTGTGGAGTCTTGTGAGCAAAAATTCTACTCTGTGAGCTACTGGCATGAAAGTTGTGAGCGATCGGTTCGGCTGCTGCATAAATGACCTTGCTCTGGAGCCACCCTTCCTGAGCGAAGACAAAAATGTGTGAGTCGGAGGCTAAAAAATGGTGAGCGAGCTCACACCCACTCAGCTGAGAGGGAACACTGGTTCAGGGATGGTTGCCTGCCTCTACTAACCGGGGCTGCCCCTGCTGATCTTTCAAGATCTGGTGAGATCAGGCATTGCCAGGGTCAGGCTCTTAAGGTGCTCCTCGAATCAAATCTGGCTGGTCTACTGCAGACCAAGATGGCTACCCTCTGAAACTGAGGGTTAGAGATAGTCTAATACTGTGGTAAAGGTTTCTCTTGCTCGAAGGTCTTTCGAATCCAACTCTAGGGTTGCGGTGCTCATCTCCATTCCCAAGCCGAAGAGCCAGCGCTGTCTGAAGACCTCTGCATGGTCATGTGGCCGGCGTGACTAAATGCTGAGGCACATGGAACGCCATTACCTTCCCACCAAAATTGTACCTACCCCCCCCCCCCCACGGGCGGGCGAGACAAAGCCGCGCGTAAGCTCAAAAGCGGAGAAAGATCTACACAGCTTCAAAGAAAAGCCTGCAATGGGACATTCCGGCCAGACGGTGGCAGTGGTACGCTGCGACCGAGAAAATGCTGACAACATCAAGCGACGCCGACTAAAAAGAATGCTGCCGGGACACGTCTGATACTTACAGCTGACCAAACTCCCTGTCGACTGCGAAGTGTGTGTGATTAAAAATGATATATGTTGTCCTCCCTTATCCCCATCATTGTTAGTCCCGTGTCTATACAAGAGTAACTGTAAATCGCTCAGAGCCGGCAGCTCTGCAAGGATTGACCGATCAATAAATTGAAAGATGATGATGATTATTATTATTATTACCTGTGTATCTACTAGCAATTTCTCACTTTCAAACTGCTAGGTTGGCAGAAGCTGGTGCCAGAGACGGGAGCTCACTCCGTCACGCGGCACTCGGCTCTTGAACTTCTGGTAGGCATTTTAAAAAGAAACACAAGAAGCGACTCGAAACACTTTATTGAACAACGGGACATATGCACAAAAGGGAGTGACTGATTCACTTTGCAGCAGAAGGACGATGAGGACTCCCGGAACGGCTCTAGGAAAGAGACGCGGGATGTAGCAAACGGGAGGGGGAGTCTTAAATATCCTTCCTTTGTGCTGGAAGGATGCACGAAAAACACTGAATGGGAGCAGGGGGATCGGTCAGGGAAAGAAGCATCTGAGAGCAGCCCCCTCCGAGCTACAAAGTTAACTCCCCGCTGACCTTTGACCCACCAAAGCTAATACAGAGGGGTCTCCCTGTGCCTGCAAGACTCGGAGGGGGCAGCTGGTCTGGACGGAACCCCCACCCTGACTGAAGGGCTTCCCATTTCCAGAAGGGGCGGCAGCTCAACAGAATAGCTCTTCCCTCCAGATGTGCAGATGGAAACGAGAGCCCCAAAATGGCAACTGGAGACACGATCCGCACTGGGTGGGCAGGCAGGACGACGGCCTGGCACAGAAACAACACTGGGTCTTCCGCTCCTGGTCGCTGTCCGCTCCTTGGTCACATATGGCACCACTGTAGGAGGCGTGACGGCCCAGCCTGTAGGCTCCCCACTGTGTTCCGCACCCCACGTCGTGCCCCTGTACGGCGGGAACAGGGACTCCGGCTCGCCCCACTTGAGACGGGAGGAGTCTGGCTCTGGCATGAAGGCGCCACACTCACGCCAGCAGGCGGCTGTACTCTGCAAGGGCGGAGGACTTCTTCACACCGTCCCAGATGCGTGCCGCGTAGTGGAACCTGCCCGAGAGAAAGAGAGGAGTCACAGTGAGATTCCCCTGCCTTCCGAGTGCTCAGTTCTGCAGTGTCGTTGGGCCAGGGCTGCACACCTCCAAAGAACGGGCGTGCAGAACAAACAACGTCAAATATGATAGTATGTACTTCTGCATCTTGTGCTTGGTTGTTAAGACCCGCTTCGAAACACACGGAGGAAAAGGTTGAGGCCTCAAAAACAGAATAGAGGGGAGTGTATCAAAACATGCATCATTTTTGTTTCATTATCAGGTGGGGTGTCACCTGACGCTGCCACCACTCTGGATTTAGGATCCTTTGAGAAGGCCCAGAGCACCCTCCCAAGACCTTCAGACCTTCCTTTTGGCCGAATAATAGGCAGAGTACAACAAGGAAAAGGTTTATTTTATACAGGGGTCATTTCGTAGAAAAAGAGCTAGGGGAACTCATTAGCATAACTCATTAGCATGTGCCACACCCCCTGACATCAGGGGCCCAGCGGTGGACCTGCAAGACCAGCGGGAGTGCGAGGAAGCCCCGCCAAGGCCCTCCCTGGCCCCAGGCAGGCAGGGGTGGGGAGAGGCGGGGAGGAAGCAACTTACCCTCCCTCTTCTCCTGCCTCCTCCTGGCTGAATGAGGGCTGGAAGCGGGGCGGTCGGAAGCAGGGGGCGGGGCTTCATCATGTGTCCCGCCCCCCTGCACCTCACCCGGGGGAACTGCGTTCCTCTGCGTTCCCCCCCGAAATGACCTCTGATTTTATAGGAGGTCAAACCACAAGGTGCAGAATAGTAACAGTGAGAAGGTGAAAAGAAATCAAATGCCCTAATGCATCTAAATATATACTGTCCCTAGCTCACTATCTCGAGTGGCCTTACACTACTCACCCTTCCCTAGGGGCTGTGGGAGGGGGAGAGAGAACACACTGACTCTTCTTCCTGCAGCAGCCTTCCTTCTGGCTCTGCCCTCCGGGAAGAAGAACAGCTTCTGCTCTGGCACCAGCCCTTTTGTTCCCCAACCCTCTTCTTCCCTATTGGTCAATTTTGGCTCCAAAACCTCTCAGGGGCTTCTGGGAGTTGTAGGCCCAGCCTCACCTACTGCTAGCCAGGCTTTCTGGGCCTAGTAGGCCTCTGCCCAGATCATGACATCATCTTATTTATTCCCTTCATTTATACGCCACGTTTCTGCACAGCTGGGGATCCCTAAAGCAGCTTATGTCGGTCTCTTCTCCATTTTATCCTCGCAACAATCCTGTGAGGTAGGTTATATCAAAAGTAGGTGACTGAACTAGAAAGGGAATACAGTGAACAGAACCTGTATAATATAGCCAAAGCTAAACACTGTATGTACATAACAATTTTTAATGAAATAATTGCAGTTATTTTAATGAAGTTTCACACAATGTTTCCAAGTATTCAACAGCTGTCTCTTATACATGATCCTTCTCATAAACATGTTTTTTTAAACAAGCAAGTCACTAAATAATACGAGTATATAAACAACGTCAGTTTTCAAGGAAGCCTGTACTATACGCTATGAAACAGTCCTGTATAGTCCACAATCAAGTAATTGCCACAATAAAACAATCCTTGTTCCTTAACGCGACTCGCCGATGCCGTGGGTTTGTCTGGATCTGGAGGTGTTCTGCGCTTTTAGAGGGTTTAGTCAAAACAAAGGCTGAAAGCTGAATATACAAAAGTTGAACTGAAGTTGCACTTGGAGCTTGACTGAGTGTGGCTGAGAATGTATGTCGAATTGAAGTTATATTCTAATGCAGATCCTAGGCATTTATTCATACTGTGGAGCAATGTTCCCTCTAAGCTGTGGAGTTTTGTGAGCAAAAATTCTACTTTGTGAGCTACTGGCATTAAAGTTGTGAGTGAGCGATTTGGCTACTGCATAAATTAGTTTGCTCTGGAGCCATCCTGCCTGAGCTAAGACAAAAATGTGTGAGCTGGAGGCTAAAAAAACTGTGAGCTAGCTCACACTAACTCAGCATAGAGGGGAAAATGCTGTGGAGATTACTTGATTGTGGACTCTACGGGACTGTTTCATAGCATATATTACAGACTTCCCTGAAAAGTGATGTTGTTTGTGTACTTGTATTATAGTATTTAGTTACCTGCTTGTTTTTTTTAAAATGGCACGTTTATGAGAAGGATTGTGATACTTATGAAATGAATAAGAGACAACTGCTGAATGCTTGGAAACACTGTGTGAAACTTTATTGAAACAATTGAAATTGTATATATAAAAAATTGTTCTGTACATACAGTGTTTAGCTTTGGCTATATTATACCGGTACACGATAGGTGACTGGCAGAGTGGGGATTCGAACCTGGGTCTCCCAGATCATAGTCTGACACACTACTCCCTACACCCAGAGGTCGATTCGGGGGGGATCGCGGGGGATTGCAGTTCCCCCAGGTGAGGTGCGGGGGGGCGGTGTACATGACGAAGCCTCGCCCCCTGCTTCTGGCCGCCCCGCTTCCGGCCCTCATGGAGGCAGGAGAAGAGGGAGGGTAAGCTGCTTCCTTCCCGCCTCTCCCCACCCCTGCCTGCCTGGGGCCAGGGAGGGCCTTGGTGGGGCTTCCTCGCACTCTCGCCGGCCTTGCAGGTCCACCGCCGGGCCTTATGATGTCAGGGGGTGTGGCATATGCTAATGAGTTATGAAAAAACCCCGATACTCTTTGTGGACTCCGAAGCCCCCCTTCCATCCTCCTCCCATTACCGTTTGCTCACCAGTTTTTCTCCGTCAGGATGGTGTGGGAGAGCTGAGGCCGAGACATGGACATGATCTGGCTCCGGAGCTTGGCGATCAGAGATGGGAAACTGGGGTGCCCCTTGTAGCCGGGCAGGAGGGAGAAGAGCGGGCCACTGCTAGGGGCTGTGGGAGGGGGAGAGAGAACACACGGACTCTCACCTGCTGCTTTTTTCAAGAATACGCGGAACTAGTCAATCACGCGACAAATACACGGAACTCAACATTAACAAACCAGGGGGAGGGAGCAAAATACAAAATGAAATCTAAATAAATATATATATATATATTTACAGCTATTGTGATGCACCTGAAGCTTTTGAATAGACTGCGGGTTCTCCTTTCCCCAGGACGACTGCAAGGACTTGGGGGTGGGGAGCAAGCTGCAGAAGGATTAAAGCGAGGATGTTTGGTGGCTGGGAGTCCTCTCAGTGCATGTTTATTGGGGGGGGGGAAGAGTTTGATTAAAGGATTTTATTTAATTCACTTATACCCTGCCTTTCTCGCCAGTGGAGACCGAAAGTGGCTTACGTCATTTCTCCTCTGTTTTATCCTCACAACAACCCTGCGAGGTACATTAGGCCGAAAGAGTGGTCGCCCGGTGAGCCTCCATGGCAGGGTGAGGATTCAAACCCAGGGCTCCCAGATTCTAGTCTGACACTCTTAACCCCTGCACCACGCAGGATTTGTGCTATGTGCGCCAGGATCTTTTTAAGTGATCATATTTATTAACACATTTATACCTCGCCTTGGGTGGCTTACAACAATAGTTAAGAGGCGAAACCAGAATAAGATAACAGACCCCAAATGTCTCCCTTCCGTTTCAAAGATGCCTGCCAATTCAAACTCCCTCAAAAGCCCTGGCAAACGGGTCAGATTTGCAGTGTCTATTGAAGGTCTCCAAGAACTGAGGCAGACCATGACAGGGAGAGCAGAAGTGGTTACATCAATACTTAGTTCTCGTGCCCATTTCTTACATGCCCAAGGAAATGCTGATCGAAAGCAAGAAATTGCAAGTAGATAAATAGGTACCACTTTGGTGGGAAGGTAACAGCGTTCCGTACGCCTTGGTGTTTAGTCATGCCGGCCACATGACCACGGAAACGACTTCGGACAGCGCTGGCTCTTCGGCTTTGAAACGGAGATGAGCACTGCAACCCTAGAGTCGGACTCGAGTGGCTTTCGAGCAAGGGAACCTTTACCTTTTTACTTTGGGGTCAGGCAGCAATTTTTCTCCAGGCCAGTTTGGCCGGGGGTCCTGGAGGTTTTTTGGGCATGGAGCAGGGGTAACTGGGGGTGGGGGGGGGGAGGCATTTGTGAATTTCCTGCATTGTGCAGGGGGGCTGGACTAGAGGTCCCTTCTGACTCTATGATTATGGGAGGGGGTACGCCTCACCTCTTCAGGGAGCCCATTCCACACAGCCAGAGCTACGAGGGGAAAGGCCCAGGCACTGGCCAATGACAGACAGGCCACCTTAAGCAGTGGGATAGCCAACAGATGGCTGCCTGGAAATTGGGGTTGACGCACAGTGTCCGGAAGTCATCCTGGTTCACCACGATTGCCTTAGTGGCCCTTCCTTTGTTGCTCGGCTCACTCAACATGAGCCGTTCGCCACTCTCTGCCAGCCTCGCAGCACAGTCTCCCTCACCGTGTGCTGTGGCCTGGATTACGCAGGTAAGCGTGTTGGGCGCCGATCAGGGGGGTCCAGCCCAGTGGTGGGAGGAAGAGTGGCTTGGACTCATCGCCATTCACATGACCAGAAAGAGGGGTAGGGAGGAATTGGGGTTCCTTACCTGCTCTGGGCAAGGCGTCGTCTGCATCCGTGTCCGTGGAAGGCAGCAAGAACAGGTTGACCTCCGTGTCCAGGTAACTCGGGGGCAGGCCGGGGAAGATGTTGCAGTCCAGCATGGAAAGGGTGCCTGGTAGGAGGGGGGGGAAACAGCTTAGCCGGACACGTCTATTCACAGACACACGAGATGCATTTTTGGCTGCGATGGTCCAGGCGAGCCCAATCACATCAGATCTCAGAAGCTAAGCAGGGTCGGCCCTGGTTAGTCCTCAGGTGGGAGACCACCAAGGAAGTCCAGGGGCTGCTACACAGAGGCAGGCCATGGCCAACCACCTCTCTCCGTCTCTTGCCTTGAAAACCCTGCAGGGTCACCATAAGTCAACTGTGACCTGATGGCCCTTCTCCTCCATCCCCATAGCCACAGGGGTTGTCATTACATAAAGGCACTTCTGAGTTCTGTTTTCTGTTGCCCCAGAAGGTCGGACCAGAACTAACAGGTTGAAATTAAATCGGAGCGGTTCCTCGGTAGAGATGTGAAGGCCCGGAAAAAACACAGAAAAATTTGGGGGGAAAACGATTTCCCCCCGTTTTTTCCCTGAAGACTTTTTTGGTTTTTTTGATCTAATTATTGTGCACTGAGGACAAGCAAGTCCTTGGTTACAAACTGAACTCTCCAATGCAAGAACAAGATGCATTTCTTCCTTTAGGAGGTGCTATTGTCAGAAGAAAAGAAAAAGGTTTCAGTTTTGTTTTTGCATGTGGGTGGGTATTCTGTTTGTAATAATTGTTTGGATACACTATATTTTTAATATGCTAGTTGTGATAATTTCATGCCAAGTAAAAATGTCCATAGTCATATTTTATGTTCCTAAAGTAACAGAATGACTTTCAATCTAGAAAAGACAAAAGAAATGCTAATGTAGCATTTTCTTCAATTTTTCTGAAAATTTCCGTTTCCCCCCCCCAAAAAATGGAAAAAAACCGGGTTTTTTGCTTCAAAATGTCCAGAAATTTTACATCTCTAGGTAGAGCAGCTAG